TCCTCATCAACACTGATTATGTCTATTTTTAAAATTATAGCCATCTTAGTGTGTGATGTCATATCCTATTGTGGGTTGATTTGCATTTCCCTAATGACTATTACTTCATCTTTTCATGTGTTTATTTGCAATTTTTGGAAAAATGTCTTTTTAAATCCATTGTCTGCTTTTTTTTTTTTTTTTTTTTTTAACATTTTATTGATTTTTTACAGAGAGGAAGAGAGAGGGATAGAGAGTTAGAAACATCAATGATTAGAGAGAATCATCGATCAGCTGCCTCTTGCACACCCCCTACTGGGAATGTACCCGCAACCAAGGTATATGCCCCTGACCGGAATCGAACCTGGGACCTTTCAGTCCGCAGGCTGATGCTCTATCCACTGTGCCAAACCGGTTTCAGCCATTACCTGCTTTTAAATGTTCTTTTTTATTGTTGTGGTTGCCCTGATCTAATTTACTGAATCACCTAGGTAACTGTCTTTACCCGGTGAGATCCCCTGCTCCCTTGGCTGTGAAGTAGGGAACAAAATAATACCTTCCTTCCCATATCTTGAGAATCAGATAAACGCTACTAGGTGATGTGAAACAAAGGGTGGTGGAGGTGGAAAGATAAACATGGGAGCAGCAGTCTGTGTGCAGTGATAGGTTTGTTTGTCACCAAGAAGATATGCAAATTAGAGAATATAGATAAAGAGAAAAAAATGAATTCTGAAACCTGTCCCCAAGAGAATTGGCATTCATTTTTCACATTTTTGTGCTTATCTTTCTAGATTTTTTGAAGACCATTCATCCCTTAAATCTGGTGTGAAGCGAACTATAGTCTGCATTTTTCATTTATCAATAATCCCAATGTAAACCAAATTTAATTTTAGACTATAAAAAAAAGAATTAAAAGCATTTATTTGAGCAAAAGGAGCTGCAACCCAGGAGACACAGATTCAAGGATCAGCCTAAATTGTGTTTCACTGAGACAAAGGGGAGGCCTCTTTTACAGCAAAAGTTGTCACCCACGCTCTCAATTATGTCTGTTTTATATAAATGAGGTGTCCAAAATGTGCAGTTCTGATTGGACAGGGCAGATTTCAGTCCCTTGGTAAAAGAACAAACCAGGGTTTCCCTGTAGGGGTTTGGTCTGAGGTTCTTCGAGGTATAAAGTACAGGACAAGCCCCTGTCAGCAAATGCCTACTAGGCTCTTACTTATAAAACTTGGGCCCTTGGTTAACCATGGGGAATCCATTTCAGCGCAAAAATTCCTTCTTAGGGTTCACATCAAATGAATTTTTCTACTTGGGGATCCACATAATAATCTTTTTATGCCAGTAAATGTGTATTGTTGTAAGTGTTTAATACTGAATAGTATTGCTTCATGTAGTGAGGCCAAGTTGAATGTTACCAGGTTCTCAGGACTGGGAATTTAATAGTGTTTTCACTTCTTTCCTACTCAAAACCACATTGTTTGGCATATATCTTTGTATATATGTATGTCTGTCCCTCATCACAAGCCACCCATCATCTGCATTAGATAGGAAGTTAAAATTGGTAAAGAGGAGAGAAACTGACAAAGCTCCTTAAGAAATATGTCATTGTAGGAATTTGATGGAGGAGGAGCATGTCATGCAGTGTAAGGGGCTGGTTCAGTGGAGAGAGCATAGGCCTACATGTAGGCAGATGTTTGCTGTGTGGCTTGGGAGAAGCACTTCACCTCTCTGAACCTCAGGGGCTTCGTCTGCACAGTGAGAACCCTGCTGCTAAAGTAATGTTAGTGAGGTGTACGTAGCTTGCAGCATGTACCCAGTAAGTCTTAGTTACTCTCCTTTCCCCGGGGACTAAGGATTCACGTGTTCTTTTGGAATGAGGTTATTCAGTTCCTTTTTGAGGAGGTGACTCTTGTTGTTTGTGAGAACCATAGCAGTGATGGTGTGACCTTGTTTGGAAATGTTGGGACTGTGCTCTCTCCCTGCGCAGTGATCACTGGCAAGATGATTAACTCAGCCCAAGTGCTGGCACAGAGTTTTTCAGGGACTTATCTTTTGTTTTCAAACCTTCTGGCAAAAATGACAAGCACTGTTGTGGTCTGTCACCTTCAGTCCTCCAGGCTCTTGGGCTGTTCCCAGCACAATATGGGCAAGCAGGACTCTGAGGGAGTGGAGTCCACAGTGAGCCCATGCTTTCTCTGCAGGTGGCCATGAACATCCTCAACAGTGGGCGGTTCAGCATGGGCAGCGCTGTGGCCGGGATGCTCAAGAAATTAATCGGTAGGTAAGTCAGGGACAGGAACCCTTTGTAGTACAGCCTTGCCCCTCAGCCTGGAAACTCTGCCATGTGCTCACAGCAGACTGGTGCTGAGCCAGAACACTGGGTACACAGTCTCACTCAAGTTTAGGACCTGGGCTGTGGTTTAGATCAAAGAATGTATTTGGTATTTGGTATTTGGTCTGTCTCCAAAGAGTGAGTGTCCACGTTTCAGCATCCTCTATTTTGGCTGCTCAGAAAGGATGGGAGGAGGGGAGTGGACATTTGTCAGAGATGAAACGGGGTAACTGCTCTGACCACTAGGAGCGAGCTACTTAGTGAGCATCGAAGTGTGAACCAGACACCTGTAAACATTAGCCCTGATTCTCCCAAGATCTCCGTTTTGTAGGTGACTATTTCCACAGTGGGTGTGGAGTGGGATCAGGTTTGGAACCCAGATCTCTCAGCCTGTCAATCTTCCCTTTGTTTTTTCTGTTAGGATGCCTGAATTCAGGATTTTCCTTTGCCAGTAAACTTAAAATAGCCCTGTAGGGTTTTTGTTGGGCATGGAACATAATTACTATATTAGTTTTGTGGGAAATGCAGGGAACACTGGCTACGGATGGTGGGAGATACCTAAGGGCTGCATACACTGAGTGTGTATGAAGTTCCTCAGAGTTCAGGGCAAGGTGGGATGGGAAGGCTTTGCTTTGGGTTCTTACCCAAAAGCTTTATAGATGAGGAGACTGATGCTCAGAGAGGGTAAGGGTTTTGCCCAAGGCCATGTACCTGGGCCTAAAAGCTGATCCTGTCAGACTCCAAGCTCAGGGCTTGTCTCACTGCTGAGCTACTCCGGATTTCTTTCCCATCTGGAAATTCTTCAGTACAAGAGCTTTTGGGGGTGCTCACGGCCAAGCCCTTCCCAAAGGATGTAGAATGATGATATCCTAAGTCCCAGAAATGTGTGAGTGTGGGTACCTGTTTACCATCTGAGCCCACCTTGAGAAGCAGTTGTGATTGGATCATAGCGGTGGGAATGTTTGGAGAATACCGACTGTAGGGCAGGGACTGCTGACTGGGTGGGATGCTGCCCTATTCAGTTGGATTGCTTCGCAGCTGGGACCATAATGCAGCTTGCGTTCACATGTGTGCACTTTGAAGCCTTCCTGCTTTGGGGATGAACCAGCCCCTGCTTCTGCCTAGGGCATTTATGGGGACACCACTTGGTGCTAGGCGCCTTCCACCTGCACCATGCAGTCTTCACAACTCTGTGAGGTCGGTGGTATTATTGGAGGAGATGAAGTCACTTGTTTTGGGATACCAGCTGGTAAGAAAAAGTGCCAGACTCAGACCTATGTCTAACTTCAAATTGTGCTTCACGTCTGTCCAGTGTGCTGGGGGCACCACTGCGAGGATAGCCCTCCTCCAGCCTGGCTTCGCTAGAAACCAGGGGCTCGGTCTTTCAGGGGGCTTGGTCTCAGCAGACTGTTCCACGTAGTTTCCGCCTGAGGGCTGGAAGGTGATAATGACTGCCTTAGTAAATTATCGTAGGACACCCAGAAAATTGTTCTTTTAATCTGTTCTTCTTCAGAAATGACTGCAGAATATGCCTGCACGAGGAAGCAGTTCAACAGGAGCCTCAGTGAATTTGGATTAATTCAGGTACTAAAGGTTGTACAAGTGGCCCTGTATGGATTTCACTGTGAAAGCATTAAGCATTAAATGTGTCTTTCAGTGTCTGTACTAGTGTGGCTTCTGTAAGTGATTGGGGAAGAGGACAGACTTTATTTAATGTGACACTTTATATATATAAAGTGTCAAATTAAAATATATATATTTTATATATTATATATATATATATATATATATATATATATATATATATATATATATATATATATATATTTTAATTTGAGAGAGGAAGAGAGAGGGAGAGATAGAAGCATCAATGATGAGAGAAAAAAATCACTGATCGGCTGCCTCCTGCACGCTCCCTACTGGGGTTTGAGTCAGCAACCCGGGCATGTGCCTTTGACGAGAATCAAACCAGGGCCCTTCAGTCCGCAAATCAATGCTCTATTCACTGAACCAAACAAGCTAGGGCGATTTTATCCACTTTTAGAGACCACTACTGTGGGAGGGACTTTACGGAGGAGCTGGTATAAGACCCTGAAAGGCAAGTAGGATTTCAAAGCAGAATCCAAAGGAGGGATGTTAGGCCAGGACCATAATGCTAGAGGTGGGAGAGTATCTGATGTATTGGAAAAGCAAGAGGCTCTGCTTTGCTTGCTGGGGCATAGAGTATGTGCAAAAGTGGCTGGAGAGGTAAGTTAAGGTTGTGCTCTGAAGGGCCTTGAGGGACAGGGTATTTGACAGGTGAGATAAATGACCTGAGTCTGTAGGGAAGGGAGGCTGAGGAGGAGGTTCCAGTTACTACGGTGGTGGTCAGTGGTGGTCGGTGGTTGGTGGAGGAGCCAGGGAAAAGGACTTACACCTGGCCAGGAATGTGACACCCTTATGTGAATGCTAAGGCTCAGTTCTCTTGTTTAGTGTGAGGCTTTGGACTTAATTACCTTCTCTGCTGGTTGGCAGATTTGATTCTCAGCACATGTAAAATGCTTCTTGATTTTTTTTTATTTTTTTTTTAACACTCCAGGAAAAGTTTGCCTTGATGGCGCAGAAGGCTTATGTAATGGAAAGTATGGCCTACCTCACTGCAGGGATGCTAGACCAACCAGGGTTTCCTGACTGTTCCATCGAGGCTGCCATGGTGAAGGTAATCCCAGCACAGCCTGCGGGGAGCTGAGGAAAGCTCCTTAGCTACTGTGTGGTCAAGGAAGATAAAGGACTTGCCAGAGTTCATCCAATGAGACTGTGACAATCAGAGCTCCTGCCTTGTTCGGTCTCATCTCAAAGCCCATTTTTCTGTTGAGCCTCCCATTCCATCCCCAGCCACTCTGCTCCTGTTCTAAGGCCCTCCTTTTGGAAGGGAATTGGCACTGACCTTCTCCCGGGTCTGTGGCAGGTGTTCAGCTCAGAGGCTGCCTGGCAGTGCGTGAGTGAGGCGCTGCAGATCCTCGGGGGCTCAGGCTACATGAGGGACTACCCATACGAGCGCATGCTGCGTGACACCCGCATCCTGCTCATCTTTGAGGTGCGTGCCCTGATACCAGACCCACCTCATTCTGCCATGGATCCCCTGAGCCTCCTGGTTCTGGACCTAGGCTGGCTTCTGCGTTCTCATTTAACCCTCCTCACAACCCTGTCTAGATCCTGTTCTGCAGACTGAGAGGCCAAGCATTTCACCCAGGGTCTCGCTTCCAAGGGCCTTCAAAGACCGCCGCAGGTCTTTGCCAAGTCACTTTTGCCAGCTGTGGTGGGACAAGCAGAGATCTTCTCAGAGGAAGCTCTGTATGGGTCTGGGTTTTCTTCTCAGTATATTGAGGGAGCTTAGGAGGGTCATCTCTGAGGGCTTTCCCAGCCTTGCAGTTCTTGCTCTCTAATTGCTGTCCCCCATGAATTCACAAGCCTAAAGGTGCTGGGAGGGTCCTGGGTGGGGAAGAAATCGAGGGGTGGGGGACAGAGAGACACCTCAGACACATCCCATTTTTGGGGTGCCAGTGGTCTTGATTGTGTAGACTGACTGACCCACGAGGAAACCAGGATACCAGGGAGTGAGGGACAGAGGTGTATCTCTCCTGAGGGACTGAAGTCTTATGAAGCAATTACACTTGAAGGCAGAAAGGACTTTGACCAGGCATAGGGGAGGACTCTATGGACCAACTACAGGGAAGTAGAGCATCTTAAATAGGCCCAGACAGGAGCTTACCTGCCCTTCTAAGCGAATGGAGGTAGAATAAGCAAACCTTTGTGGGAGTATTGGCCAGTCCTGCTTGATGAGCTGGGACAGATGATGGAGCAGGTGAGGAGGAAATGGAAAGGAGACAAGCAGCCAGGTTATACAGGACCTTGGTTCTTTACTCAGGGCAGTGGAAACTATAAAAGGTTATATCCTGCTTGAATAGCTTCCACGGTGTGAGCGAGCAGGCAGTAGCACAGTCCTCCTAGTCGCACATGCAGGATGCTGGGGCTAACTTCCATGGGGCAGCTTTTGACCTCTGTACTGCTGACCACAGGGAACCAATGAAATTCTCCGGATGTACATTGCCCTGACAGGCCTGCAGCATGCTGGACGCATCCTGACAGCAAGGATCAAGTAGGTGCCATTCCTACTCTGCTCCTCGGGTCCCACCTGGGAAAACAAAAGGGGGTGAGCAGTATGGCCTTGAAGAGCTGAGCCCATTCACTGCCTGGCTAGAGAGAGGGAAGGTGGGCAGGAGCCTTGGTCAGTGAGTGTTGGGCCGTGAAAGCCAGACTCCAGAGCTCAGCCATTATTTGAGGGTGGCAGGAGGAGCCAGCTGCTCAGGGAAGCCCTCACTGCCCTGCCCATGGGCTCACTCCCTGGGCAGTTCCTGTTTCCCAGGCTGCAGGGACTTTCATTTTCAGGATCTGGGAAGGAGAGGTGCTGCTTAAACACAAGAGGTGCCCCTCCAAGGCCAACACAAGAACAATTTGTTTCTTTTCTCCCTCCCTGGTTCTCACTCCCTCTTGCTCCTTTCAATCCCCATCCTGAGGCCAGGGCAATTAGAAACCACTGCTGGAGCCCAAGAATAGTTGCTCAACACATATTGCAGAATACTTACTGGAAAAGAATGACCTGGAAGTTGGCTGTGGCTCAGCTCCTTGTGGAGGGAGCGCGAGAATGGCTCCACCTCGGAGGAGACTAGCTGCTCTCGGACAGGCTGGCCAGGCTCAGCCTGCAACCAGGTGCCCAGCATGCCCAGACTAGGGGAAGGTCATATTGGGCCTGGATTGGCACTTTATGACTTTGCATAGTCAGGGAGAAGGAATGGGAGCCCTAGAGCTCTGGGGTACCTATCGGCGGGGTTTTGTTGCTGTGGGGAGGACAGCAGGGCCTCAGGTCACGGGATACGGGCTTTCTGCAGAGAGCTTAAGCGGGGCAATGTGACCACTGTCCTGGAGACCGTTGGCCGGAGGCTTCGGGACTCCTTTGGCCGAACCGTGGACCTGGGACTGACAGGGGACCTCGGAGTCGTGCACCCCAGTGTTGCGGTGAGTGAGCCCTGTCCGGTACCTTTCTCCCAGAAGGGATGTGACCAGGGGAGTGGGGAGGACCAGTCAGTCTGAGGGACAGCTGATGTCCCGTCTCCGCCCTGTCACAATGGAGAATAGCCTGCATGTCAGCCAGGCCTCGCCCTGGAGCCCCTGCCAGGGGGGACAGGATGGCACCATGGGGAGGCGGTGCTGAGCTGAGTCCTTTCCTCTGGCCTCCAGGACGGTGCCAACAAGCTCGAGGAGAACGTGTATTACTTTGGCCGCACTGTGGAGACGTTGCTGCTCCGCTTTGGCAAGGTAGTCAGGCCCCTCCAGGCCCAGGAGTGGCAGGCCCTCCACCTGTGGGGTCAGGAAAACGGGGCCAGCATCTATGAGATAGTTTTACCAAGTGTCCACCTTTTGAACCAAGCCCAGGAAGAAATCTACTCACCATGGAGGGGTGGAATGGGGAGGCAGGGGTGATGGGTGGGTGCCCTGCTGGGGAACCCCCTCCAGGTGAAGAGAGGCTCTTGCATTTGTGGGGGAAGCCTCCGCAGGGCCTGAATCTCACGACCTGATCTGAGAGGCTCTGCGGCTGAAGACGTATTAATTAAGCCTGGCTCTGGTCTCAGCCAGGTTCTTGGGACTTGATCTTACCTTTACCCTTGCCCAAATCTAGACATAGGGAAAGGAAAACAGGCAGCTACTGTGAGCCAACTTCTCACAATCTCCAGGCATAAAATGAGGCTCAGAGGTGTGAAATGTGCCCAGGGAGCAATGCGGGGGATGGGGTCACAGGTAATGCCCCCCCCCCCCCCCCCCCCGGCTCTGTGTTCCCAGACCATTGTGGAGGAGCAGATGGTCTTGAAGCGGGTGGCCAACATCCTCATCAACCTGTATGGCATGACAGCTGTGCTGTCTCGGGCCAGCCGCTCTATGCGAGCAGGACTCCGGAACCATGACCATGAGGTGAGCCTGCTCTGTCCTGTCCTGATCCTACCAGTCCACACACAGGAGTTTTGTCCTGTGCATTTAACTGAGGCCAGGTTGTTGGAAGATGGGAAGATTGAGTGGCATGATCCAATTTAGCAGTCTTAAGTGGGAGGGGCTGCGCAAGTCAAGGGGCTTGGCATCCCAGTTGTAGTCCCAGAGAGTGAGAGTAAAGTGCAGGGTCTGTGCAGCAGTTGGCCTGGAGGCTGGTGGGTTTGCTGAGTTGTGGCTGTGGCCTGTGGTGAGTATTGAAGCTCCGATGGGAGGGAGGGTCCATGTCTGCTCAGAACACAAAGCCACTCCCTTGAGTAGGGAGTCCTAAACCCAGTTCCCTCACCTTGGCTGTCCTCACCCTGCTGGTGGGGCACTGAGCGCCTGCTGTGGATTTGGTCTTCATGTACACAGACTCACAGTAGCCAGTGGCCACAGGAATTGTGATGTCTCTCTCACAGCGGAGGAAACTGAGGCTCAGAGATGTTGAGTAATTTGCTCTTGGGACAGAGCTAGTTTGGCTTTGGGCTGGAATTAATACCTAAGATTGTGTGACTTCTGAGCCAGGCTTCTTGACCCCGCCAAGTGCCCAGTGGTTCTTTGAAGTTTAGAGGTCAGTCACCAGGGACGGGGAGCCCTGTGGCCCAGAGATCTCAAGGTTCTCTCTGACCTCGGTTCTGGCAGGTTCTGTTGGCCAACATCTTCTGCACAGAAGCTTATTGCCAGAATCTCTTCACCTTATCTCAGCTGGACAAGTGTGAGTAGGGTTGTTTGGGGGAGGAAGGAAAGGGTCTGTTTCTAGGCAACTGTTGATGGTGAGCTTTTTCTGGACCCTGTCAGGCTCTCAGGGCCTATTGGCTCCTCACAAACTTCTGTCGTGAGTGAGGGCTAAGACCTGCACCAGCAGCAAGGCAGGAGCATGGATCTGCAGATACAAGCTCTGCCAGAGCCCTTGTGCAGGCCCTGCAGCATCTGCACAGTGAAGGTTCACAAAGGAAGAAGACAGTTCTCCTGCCTTTTCATTCCAACCTTGCGGTTGAGAGGAAGCTGCCCCCTCACAGATGTCCTGGGATGCTGTCCTCGACCATCTGCTCAGTCTGGAATGCTCCTATGGCCATGACTTTGAATGTATAGCTTAAATTCTCCTCTGACCATTACAGTCCTGCTGGCCACAAGGCTTCACATCAGGAGCCCAGCCCTGTTGCTAAGAGATTGTTGAGAGGGGCACATAATTCTGTGTAGATTCTGGCTCAGGGTGCTGTTCAGGCACCCTCCACAGTGCTGACCTGACTGTTAGTGTGCTATGGAGATGAGGAGATGGTTTCTCCTGCAATAATAGGCTTGCATCGCATTGACCAAGTGCCTTCTCCCATAGGATTTAGAGTTTTTAGGGATTAACAAGATGATCCCTTTTTTATTCAGAGTAAAGCCTATATGTACAGCCCAGAATCACTTCCTGGGGGCTTTGAGGGGTAGTGGGGATACCCACAAGCAGTTAGGAAAACTGTTCTAACAATATTCCTATTGTCACAATGCAGAAAGATCAACCCCTGTCTCCTTTCCTTTCCAGATTCTCCAGAAAATCTAGATGAACAGATCAAGAAAGTGTCCCAGCAGATCCTAGAGAGGCGAGCATACATCTGTGCCCACCCTTTGGACCGGACATCCTGAAGCAGAGAGACAGTGGTCACTGTTGCTGCCAGCCCTCAGGCCACAGCCTATTGCTGGACAATTCACCTTTTCCAGAAGGTGTTGGGCTTGGGGTTATTTTAAGTCAAACTTTCTTCCTAGTCTTCACCTGAAGGTCTTTCTCTTACCCTGGGGAAGCCTCTTCTAGGCTTGATCTGTGAGCACTGCTGCCTAACATGATCATCCCAGGTTCTAAATGGAGATGAATAGAGAGAGAATGGAGTTGCTGAGACCTGGAATTAGAGCACACGCTATTAGTGTAGGAGAGTTCAGAATGGAAACGGGGGCTCTTGCTGCTGCCTCTGTGGCGTGAGCCTGTGGGGATCTGTTTTGGGCATGGACGCCCATTTCTACGAGATTACACCTTTCCCAAGAAATAGTTTGAAAGCTGTGTATGTGTCGTTCATTCAAACTAGAAGGAAAATATACTTGTGCCTTTATATTCTTTTTTAACAAAAAAAGTTTGTATTTACTCTTCTAACCATGTTTTTTCTCAGAACCAGCCTTTAATGGATGATAGCATGAACTTAAGAATTACCCTTTAGTGATGGCTCTGTCTCTTTTGTCCTCAACCTGTGAGAAGGCCTTGAAAGCCGAGGAGCAGGTTCCCACTGCAGGGCTATGGGGTTATGAGTCCTATCTTTGGTCCTCTCAGGTGATAGCTGGAAAACAGCATTTCTTGGTTCATGACAACATATGCTTGTTCCTACCTGGGCTTTTCTTCTGCTTTCTTTGCAAGGATTGCCCTCTAGTTTTGAAATGGGACAAAAGTTATCTTTAGGTGGCACTAACAGGCCTTTGCATTTCTCCAGGCTTCCTTCTGCTGTTATTTGCTGTGTGTACTGGGTCCCAGCATACTGGCAGGTTTCAAGCTTTGGTCTAGGGTGTCTTGGGGTTCCCCCCAAAAAGCCTCGAGATGGGAGGAGAAGGCTCACTCCCTTTCCTCCAAGTATAAGTTGCAGTCTGCATGATGAAAGAAAAGGCAAGGAGTAGATTGGGAATGCTGAGACCTGACCTGGCATAATAGGGTTGGCCTGAACATTCTGCCAGGGTTTTGGTAGCTAATCTTCTAAGGGTAAAAGTTCACAAATATTGTGACTTTAGAAATAAGTTTCCAATGAAACTGAAAGTTCTTTATGTATATATATTTTGTTGTTAATTTCAGAGAGGGATAGAGAGATAGAAACATCAACAATGAAGGAGAATCATTGATCAGCTGCCTCCTGCACACCCCACACAGGGAATTGAACTCATAACTCGGCATGTGCCCTGACCAGGAATCAAACCATGACTTCCTGGTTCATGGGTTGATATTCAACCACTGAACCACACTGATTGGGCATAAACTCAAAGTTCTTAAATGTTGGCAAGGAGACGTTTTGCACAAAATGGAGTGTACATGCCTTCTCACAGTGCCGGGGAAGGAGGTGCCCGGAGCTCCTTTGCGGAGCATGCAGTCCCCACCCGCTTGGGCAGTCCTTAAGAAGAGCTTCACTCTAGGCCTTGCGGCATGGAAGTCCTCTGTCAGCAACAGGGGTCTCCATCCAATTGAGTTTAAAAGTCTGGAATCACTAGTTCAATTCTCTCTTTTTCACCTGCCATTTCTAAGTTTTATTAAACCTGTTGTGGGGAGGGAAGGTCCTGGCATGTATTTGTTATATTTTGTCATCAATATGCACAGGCTTGAGATGCTCAGGGAACCTGTGTTGGGGAGGCCTGTGGTGCAACCCACCAGAGCATTCTGGTCAGTGAGGCAAGCATGGTTTCCTGACCTAGACCACAGCAGTGGCTTAGCTTCTGACACACTAGCAGAAAGGAGAAGGTCTTCACATAGCCTGGAGCCCAAAGCCTATTCTGAAGGAAGGCAGTAGGTACAAGTAAGGAGAGAGAGAGGTTTCGGGAGCTTGTCAGCACTTCCTCCTTTTCATGGAACTGTCTCTAGCTGCCCTTGGAAGTCAAAGTAGGTAGGAACTCCATCCTGATTTCTGGTAAAGGGTTCTCTGGCAATTTTTTTTTTTTTTTTAATCAGAAAACCTATTTCCCTCCAGACAAAGGTTCTGGCTGTGTAAACCAACAAATTTAGGTTCTCTGCCAACCTATGAAAGACCTGGAGGTCTTCATAATAGAGGGATGAAAAGAAAGAAGAAGACACAGAAGATTAAGGAAGCAAGACTCCATACTCCCCCACAGAGGGAGATGGCAGTAGCTTGAGCTGGAAGGGAGTAGGTCCCAGTAAAGCCCAGATTCTCTTGCCTATGCCTCCTGAAGCCAGTCTTGGGTACCAGAGTGTTGAAGCTCAGCAAACCTTTAAATTTTTCCAATGTACCAGGCCCAGTGCAATAAAGGGATTTGCCCAAAGTCACACGGTTGGAACTAGAATCTGGGACTCCTCTGAGTTCCAGCCCTGCACTCAGTCTGTTACAGCAACCCATTTTGAATCTTGATTTCCTAAATCATGGGTATCTAAAACAAAATGAATACTGCTGAAGAGAGAAAGTAGCCCAGAGCTCCTGCCAGTAGCATCAGGAGGCTTGGTTCTGCAAAGGTTTTGTCTGTTATGGCTGGGTTCAGTGCTGAAGAAGCGTGTAGCTGAGGAAAAGCAGTGGCTTTGTATATAGATCAGTCCCCAGGGTACTGGTCCCTCCTCTCTTGATCTGGAATAAGCTCTAGCAAATCAGCAAATAATGTGTTTTTCCTCCACTCCTAAATCTGGAACAATAAGTCAGGAGTAAGTTCCTATCTGAGCTCTGCTCCTCCCTGTGGACTTCAGTCAGTTCGCAGTGGTGCCAGTGGGCAGCAGCTCGCAGTGGTGGTGATTTTCAGTACTGCTATGAATGTACTGAGCCAGGCCAAGTAGGATTTCTTCTCGGATTTTTTTCTTTTGAACCCTGAGACTACACTAAGGCTGAGAGGTCATTTTGTGACTATATGAATCTTCTTGGATCCTGGAAATGAGCAAACGTGGATGGAAGGGTGATGGCAGACTTGGTTAGGGCTGATAAGCCTCAGGTTTCTAAGTAGGTGACAGAAAAAACTGAGGGTATAGTGATAGTTCCTGTCAATGGAGCATTTAAATTACTTAAACTGTGCAGCAGCCCTGGAAGTTTCACACTGTTGTCTCCTATGACAGAAACTCTTTTGTAAAGTCACCATGTGCTGGAATCTAAGCCAAGGCTTTTCCTTTGGGGTGACAGATGCTTTTCATGAGGAGCAATAAAATGCTCTCTAGCGGTGAGGAACTGCAGTGGTTTGCAGCTGTGGACATCTGAACATTCCCTGAGGACCTCTTGGCTCACCTCTGCATGTGGAGAATTAACATTTAGTTTGGGAACAGAATGCCTCTCCCAGCACCTGATCCTTCTCTATTCCCCCTAGCTGGTTGGCTCTCCACACACCAGAGATCTCCTGCTTACCTCCAGGCAAGTCATCATAGAGGACAGAGTTCATTATCCTGTCTGCAGTATAAGCATTTGATTGTTTCCCATATTCCAAGCCTCTCACTCACCTTGACCATCTCTTGATACAGCCACTTCTTGGCAAGCTCTATGTAATTCAAGCTCTGTGCAGTTATAGAAAGCATCTTTGGTCAGGGCATCAATTCTAAATACCATAGAGACTTTGGAGACTTCTTGCTAACCTGGTAGGCTCCTATAGTATTTTTCTGAAGAAAGAGACACCAGTCATTACACAAAGTCCCTTACCACCATCTATCTTTTTGTGTTCAGCTCTGGAACATGGCTCCCATGCAGATATTGATTCTTGAATACTGGAGCTGCCATTTCATCTCAGAACCCTGCCAAAGGTCCATCCAGCCCAACCCCTTCCTGTCTACAGTGGACCAGAAACTTGATATTGGCTAACGCCACTGGAACTGGTACACACAGCACCTGAGTTTAGAATGGAAATAGAAGTAGCAATACTTATTAATGTCCCCAAAGGAAGGAGAAGTAAGAATAGAAACAGAAGAAATAATGAGTATCAGAATTGATAAGGAAAATTCCAAGCCTGGACACATTATTAGTGAGATTTAAAACAAAAGCAAAGATGAGTTCTGAAAACTGACAAAGAGCAGGGCACCTGTGAAAGAGAAAGTATGATTAACTTCAGATTTCACGACACCAATGCTGTAAATAAGAAGGTAAAGAAACTGAGCCTGCAGATTGTTTTTGTTTTTGTTTTCTCTTGTTTTTGTTTTAGTTTTTAATTGATTTTAAAATATCCAAAGCTGGTTTGGCTCAGTGGATAGAGCATCGGTCTGAGGACTGAAAGGTCCCAGGTTTGATTCCGGTCAAGGGCATATACATTGGTTGCGGGCACATCCCCGGTAGAGGATGTGCAGAAGGCATCTGGTCGATGTTTCTAGCTCTCTATCTCTCTCCCTTCCTCTCTGTAAAAATCAATAAAATATATTAAAATAAAATAAAATAATGACACATAAGGAACTATCTGGCATTGAAATTGGGACTCAAAGAACTGTTGGATTCAAAGGAACTCACTACAGACTGACTCATTTGCCTCTCAGCATAACCATTATGGCTTGTTGCAGTTTAGGTTCTTACAAGGGTATATCTTGGATCATATGATCTCACACATCTAGAGGGAATAATGAACAACATAAACAGACCCAGAGAAAGAGAACCAGCGATCAGACTCTCAAACCTCAGAGGGAAAGTAAGGGAGGATTGGGGTAAGGGGAAAAGATCAACCAAAGGACTTGTGTGCATACATATGGGCCTAGCCAATGGCCATGGACAACGGGAGTTGGGGGAGGGGGGGAAGGAGCATAACTAGGGAGGGGTTTGGGATGGGAATGGGGGAATAAGGACAATTATGTGAGACCATAATCAATCAATCAATCAATCAAATAATGAAAAGGCAAGCCACAGACTGGGAAAATATATTTGCAATACATGTGACTGACAACTTATCCAAATAAAAATAAAATAAAAAACCCACAAACCAGTAAAAAAAAAAATTCAACT